AGACCCGTACCCAGCAATGGGACGTTAAAAAGGACTGAATACGACGATACAAAATTGTAGGCTCATATTATTGTCAGCGGTCCAAAAAAGTTTCAAAAACCTGTCAAAAAATTAGATATTTAAGTTTTCTTTAGTTCAAAGGATGAAAGTAGAATGATTAGCAAGTGTCGATTTGGCTAAGTCTAGTTCAGTTAGACATAAATTAGAATCAAATTATAGTTTATTTTATCAAATTACACTATTATAAGGATTTTTAACTTAATACGGCTTAAAAGAAACAGCGTCACATCATGAAATTATTTAGAATATTTTTCATGGAATTATTGATAATAGCCCAAATCTTAATAGATGTTCTTTAAAATATAGATTTACATTTCTTTTTAGTGAATAAGAAAGAAATTTTAAAATATCAGTTCAAGGGTAATCTAAAATTGGTCACGAGGATTGCCAACAAGAAACGCTACAAGCACACTAGAATTGTTCCGATTACTGTCTAATATAATGTAGCTCTATCTCGAAATAGAGATGACGCTACGGGCGTAGCTCTGACTGTAGACGCTCTACGATACTGTTAGGAAAAGTGCTAAGTAAAAGGATAATGTTATTGTAGCAAGGACCATAAAACACTTCGATTACGTATTTTTAACGCCTTAAAAAATCATACTAACATTAAAACTTTCGTAAATCTTAAAATATAATTATTTTTATTTATTCATTTATTTATATATCTATTATATACTCGTAAATATGCACAATATATATACTTAAAGAAATAGATTCTGCAAATTGATATGATGTTTTTCTGTATATGAAAGTATTTGCAAACTTTATGATAAATCAGCTTTATGGGCATAAAAAATGCAAAATCAATAAATAAATTAGTTGAGACATTAACACACAACACCATCTAGTTCCATGGTAAGCAACGAGGCCTGTGTTTTGAATACCAGATAGTTGATACACATAATTTATATACATATTATAAATATAATAAACCTATGTCTGGAGTACAAACATTCGTGCTCATCACACAAATGAATGCCCCCAGCGGGAGTCAAACTCGCGACCGCTGGCCCAGCAAGTAGGGTAGCAACTACATACTGAACCAAAAGTGTCTTCATGTGAAATCAAATGCGCCTTTTTTTAAAATGGACGCCTAACATGGACGATTTACTAAAAGAATTTGTCATCGGTATGAAAACAATAAAGAATAAGTAAAAAATTAAAATGCATTTTGGATAATCTCCACTTAGTTCGAATTTTGATATTTTTTAAAATAAACATATGTTAATTTTTTTATTACCTATATAGGTACAGCAAGCAAATTTACGCATTGATGATGATGTTCTCCTAGCTGATTCCGGCCACGGCGGCCAATCTCATTGAGATTAGCCAACTGCGCAGGAGATATTATAGTGCACAAGTGTACGCGCAGACACAAGTGCATTCTCTATTCCTGTCACTCTCATACTCTGGTGGGATGACTACTCGACACGACCAGTGAGATTTAAGGCGCAGGACCGAAGGCTTTACGTGCTCTCCGAGGCACGGGGATGAAACACCGCCAACTTCCCAACTTCGGGCTGTTACTGAGACTTACTATACAGAAAGACTCAATAACTAAACTTGGCCCGACTCGGGACTCGAACCCAGAACCTCCGAGTATGAAGCCATACATGCTAGCCACTACACCACCGAGGCAGTTAAATTTACGCATTACTTGGGTGATAAAAAAAGAAAAGCAATACTTTGTCTCATAAACCGCACGATGGTCTGCGATATAGTATTTACAAAGTATGAATATTCATTAAATTGACTTGATCTCTAGCAATCGCCGTCGTTAGCTAATTAAAGCGTATAATATAATTCATAAGTAGGGAAATCCCTGATATTACCTGTATGTATGGCAATTAGATATAAATTCACCATATTATTATACAAACCGTTTAAACGTTTCCACTGAGATAGAAAAAAGATAGAAATAAAATGTAGGTTCATATCGAATTAATAATATAAATATATCGTTTGAAAAAATATCTGTGGGGGAATACCGACATGGTAACTCCTCGATGTTGATGTCCCAATGGCTTCTATAACATGCAATTAGCCTTTACACCAAAAAGGCAACCTAATATAAACATATTAATATTGGAATAAAAAAATCAAATACTGTATGGAGAAGTTTAAATAATTTATGTTAATTTTCAAAATCGATAAGAGGAAAACAATTCTACGCAACATTCAACATTAACGGGAAGGTCACAGAGCATTTCGTTCTGAGAAATCAGTTAATACTGGATTTATAGATTTTATCACTTCAATGCTTACATATTGGATGTGATATGTAATCTATATTTTATACATCTTCGACCCAATATAACTAGGAGGGAGAAAGTAGCAGAATCATTATGTAAAACAGGATATTTACCATGTTTAGCATTTACTTTGGAGTATACCCGTGAGTCGTGACCACGGCACTTTTAACAGTGAGCCGAGATTTTGGGAACTCTCAACAGTAAATGCAATAACATCCCTTTTACATAATAATAATATTGTCAGTGGACATGATAATTTAAAAAAAATATTTCATAATTTTTGTTATGATGTGTTTTTACTTTTGATAGAAAGAGATAGAAAGTATTGCCATAGCATAAAATGGAAGCTTGGACGAGATGTGTCTATAAAATCGTTGAAGTAAAGAAATATTTGGTAATAACATAGCAAGGCATTAATTTTGTCAATTTATTACAATTCTTACTCTAAAATAAGTTCTTGTCCAAGTCCCATGGATCTTTCCCTCTAAAACTAATATGTAATTTAGGTGCTCAGGTGGACGGAGTGTCATTGAACTATTCTTTAGTCTAAGTTTATGTTTCTTTACAGACTTTTGTTAGATATTTATCTCTATTTCCTAAAATGTTATCGTGTTTTCAATTGAGATATTACCGTTTCATTACTAGTACTTATTATCCTGGTTATAATGCATATTATTATGTACTGTACATCACTACGCCACGACTATCGACAGTCAGTATTAAAAATTAATGGTTACCTGCATTTTATTGACACTGTTATTTAAACCTTAAGAACTTCTATGAAACCTCGTATATTAAAAAAATACATAAGCTGCACACAATGTAATACATATTTAAGATTGCTTAATATAACAAGGCTATCATTTCGTTATAAATGCTATTTGCCTTATAAAAATTAGTTAGATTAACCCACTTAACAAAAAAACGGTTTTATGACCCGGTATTCAATATATATTATATCGTAGGTATAAATTCCCAAAAGTGGACGTAACAATGAATCATTGCTTCCGTTTCTTTATACATACTAGTGTTCGCCCAGCAGCCGAAATTCGAACAATTCAATAGGAAATAGAATTTATCTATTTATTATATATAGATATCTATCTATATTAAAAAACTGTTCCCAAAAAAAAAATTGGTAACACTATTGTACCTGCTCGTCATAGCTACTAAACAAAAAGAAAAACTGTTGAAAGTTAGCAGAGGAGAAAAAGGTCCTGAGTTTTTTGCTTTTGCCTATTTTAAACAAACATAATTTTTTTACATAATTATAATATGTACATATAGATAGATATGACCAACTATTTATATTGCCGAATTTACGATAACTTTTTATTGTATGGTGTTCATTGGTGTGTTTATAGACTTAATACAAATTATTAAAATTGTTGGATTTTGAACTTAGAAGATTAAATGATATTATCGAACGATTAGCAATAGGCGCCAGCGATATCTTCGTGACGAATGAGTACTCGTGTCCTTAATGAGTAAATCTATGCAGACCTATTTAGTATATGACTGATATAAACTTCAATTGGTTTTTTTAATGGCTTCAAATCCTGCAAGTTGAGCACAGATCACTTCGCCAATATCAAGTAGAAATGAATTTTAATACCAGCTTTCATCAGCTATTGGTCGAAGACGTTTTATTTTGTTAAGTACTAGCTTTGCTCGGATTCGTCCATAGTAAATTACAAAAACAAATCTGAGGGTAAGAAAACTGATGAATATAGAAAGTATCTATGCTTTAAAACTTAAGAAATTTCACTATAAAATTGATTATTACAATTAAATCAATGAAAAAAGGTGATTAAACTTAATATGTACCTAAATATCTTATTATTATTATGACGAAGGGGTGCAATAAAACGCTATATTTATAAAAAAAGTAAATTAAGTACAAATTTTATTTAAAAATTAAATCTAACGTGATTTGATCACTTAAAGCTTCGTAAGCCATTTCTTAAAGATATACAATAAATTAATTTAAACCCTAGTTTGAGATTCAATGCCTTTGGCACTTACTAGACTAGGTCCTTACCTAAAATTAAAAAAAAATCAAAACTATATACAATTGTCTATATTAAACTATTAATCTTAATAAATAAGAGAGCTCGTTGCAGTAGGAGTCAGTATTTACAACTTGACTAGAAGCATCTAGAAATGACTTATATAATATAATACTATATAACTTACTGGAAAATCTATATCACAAATTAGGAATTGCGTTGTTAACGCCAATACACTTAATACTGAATAGTGATGTCAATTAATAATTAATATACATCTAAAATACGATAAGTATAGGACTAAATCTTAATGGAACATAAGGCCAGTCAATTCACAACTTCATTTGGTCCCATCGCAATAAATAACTTAGCCTAATCGTAATACTGCTTAAAAATACTATTAAAGCTGTTGATCTTCACGAGTTAGTTTCAAATCTCACAGCTAGTTTTAAAACTAAAGTTCACAATTAGTTGAGTTTCGCAGCATTCACTATATGCGATCATTCACATGTATCCCATAATGGTGCTGGAAATCCCATTGGTTCAGGTCGAAGACATTTATTTGCTTAGTTATAGTTACGTATCTAATTCACAATTTGTCTCACTTTCAGAACACACAATAAATCTTTAAGTCCTTCATGTCTTCATAAAACCTTCACTGTTCATATTATATTCACCACGCACTTTTTCTCTTCTCGCAAATACACTTAGATCGATTCCACTTCATATGCTGGTTCCGCTATAACAATAAAAAATATAATTCGATCTCGATGCTCTGATATTAAAAAAAAATTATGACAATAGGTACTTTAAGTTATAAATTAATTTACTTTATATTTTAAAAGAAATAATCGTGATGTGTGGAATAAACAGAATTTGCAAAAAAAATAGACAACACAAAAAAACAAAGCTGGCTCAAGTAAGACAACGGATGTCAGTACGGCATTTGCATCGAGAACCAGGAATTTTGATTGAAAAATCACAAATTCTGGAACATCTATGCGTGGAAGGTAAAAAAATTAGGAATAAAAACATCGAAGCGTTAAATTGGGCTATAGCATGCGTGCCGTCTACCTGTGTTAGTGCTCACAGACATCCATCATCCTACGAACCTGTTTAAGGCAACGTCGCCTCTCCTCAAGATTGGGGCACTGACAGGCGCACTTACGAGGATTGAACACCCTCGGCGGACTGCATTCGTGCGGAGAGCTGGTGCAGCAGCCGCAGCTCTCGTGGACGTCTATCATGTACGTGGAACACGTCTCCCGACTCGTCTTCAGGTTGTATATTCGAACCTAGACAAAAGAAACAGATTGTTAGAACATTCTCTGTAGCAAAATACTTGTCAGATATTGTGTGTCGGCATATTTAAACTCGCTGTGTCTAACTCATCCCCATTGTAAAGGCTATTGTCTTATTCAATCAAACGTTCGATTATTTTATCTAAACACGCCACCTAATAATAAGGCGAATGAAAACATTGATAGAGTACCTATGGGAATTATGTCATTATTATCATTAGGGATTGCGTAAAGACTGAGTAAACGCACAAGTGTGTCAAGGATGGATAAACAGATAGTGTTTGTCCTTATAACGTGATCAGTTAAAACGCGTGAGATGATTTGACGCAGCGTCTTTTAAACCTGGATGCTGTCTATTAACTAGTATTAGATATTTCCAATCTGCATGATAAAATAAAGTCTTATAAAAAAGTTTGTTAAAAGTTTGGAAAATTCCAACAAATTATAAAATGTATATGATGTGATAATGAAATAGTAGGTATATTCGTATAAGATTATATTAGAGATGATTAAGTAGCTCACATACAAAACATTCATCATATATTTGAGATAAGATCAAAAATGCAAAAGTCATGATTGCGACTCTATATATTTTAAATAATGAATTAATGTCGCATTTTATGAAGATGTAGACATTAATCTAGATAATAATGTTGATAAGTTGAAGTGGTCTGGGCGGGAACTTACCGGGATAGGTTGCCTTCTGATTTTGGTGGCAATGCACTGTGACCCGGGGGCTTCATAGTCGCATAGTCCGACACAGCGCTTGACCCATACGTGGCTAGGATTAACCTGGGGAAATACGCTCACGTCAGTCATATACATTCGGATGCGGATTTTCTCACGCACTAATGGCCACTTCACGGATGTAAACGGCGTTGATACGTTTAAATATTCAAATATCTCAATTGTCTATCCGCGGCGTACAGTTTTATGTACATTCTTATCTTGTGCAAGTATATTAATTACTCTATTACTGAGAAATTGTTGTATTAGATTTAAATTAGCTAGCCGCGATAATTGTGTGGATTGTGAAATATTAATGTTACTAATGAACTATAATAATTAGGAAGCTAATTATAATTAATTTAAAATTAATTGCTACAAGAAATAATTAAATTAATTACTAAACTTATTTTTTAAGTTTAATCTATTTACAAAAAACAAAATTAATTGTTTTTTTTTTAAATATAACTCACTTGTAAGTATGAAGTGTTGAGTTTAAGTTCTTCGAACACTTCCTTCGGCTCTCCACATCGAGACTTTTCAATGAACTCGTTCCTTGCATCATCAAAGATACTATTGCAAACCACTGCAACAAAATAATACTGTTAGTTAAGTATTAACATGAGACGCTACCAGCAATGACCGAGCAATCGCGGGTTGCATGCTGTCACTAAACTTCACTTAAACTTTGAATTTTGCCGCACTTTTGAGAAACACTTCACCTTTCGTTATCACGTCGCTTTCTTCAGCCTTGGGGAACTTCGGGTGTCTGTACGCGGTCACGTGTGCCACAAAAACAAAAAAGAAAAATAATCTCGCCATTATTTATTTGTATGATTTATGATACTACTTCACTTCAGTGCACGTGTGGCTAGATTGCCGGTCTGAAAGTTTGTGGTGGTCCGCGCGTCGGTTCGCTATTATAAAGCCTGAGTCAGCGGGTGTGTAAAGGCACGGCTAAGCGTCACGTTATTTAAACACCTGACGCTACGTCACGCTACGTACGAAATTGCCTACTTTGATCCGTCTTGAAGGAGTTCACCGTTACTCAACTTTACTGGATTGGCCCTCGCGTAAGCAACTATCTATCCGTATCCGTTTTAAGTTAGAAAATTCTGAGATATTTGCGCGGCCTGTTTGAAGTTCAAATAGGATTTCGCATGTAGCAAATATTTTACAGGGTGAATGGATTTCTGAGGAGCGTCTCTTTTACTGTACAAAATGACTATCATTTAATTTTTTGTATTATTCTTCAACATATCACATCAATTTAGAAGCTGTCAGTTATTCGATCAAAGGACAATAAAATTAAAGTTTCATGTTTTATTGTTGTTATTTATTTCGAATATTTTATAATTTATAAACAATGGCAAGTTACATAAATTAAAATTTTGTAAAATTATTCGTCACGGCTGAGTGGATACGGGGTCAAATCCTAGATAAAATAAAAGTTTATATTAGCTCTACAAGTGTTTTTAATTATAATTTAAATATTTGCCATTATGTTTGATATTTCACAGAATATATAATTTTTTATATTTGTATTTATACACCAGAATAGTTTGTTGCATTTTATCACGATCAATGTGATTGATGACTTTATTTAGGGAAAAACCTGTCACTTTCTTTACAGGTAACGGGTGATGTGGAATTCGATTATTATTAATATTATCATGCGGATTTATTGATTGAGATTAGATTTTAAAATTTTACTCATAGATATTTCCCAACAGTTACGAAGTGTTGTGTCATAGCAAGGCGCCGCGTGCCGCCGGAGATAACACTATCATACATCATGAACTCTCATTCCTCGCACAGCTGTGACAAGTTACGTCAGCGCAAGGTGATTTCTTTATCGGAATTCATTCTATATTAGCGCGTGCTGCCTTACCAATTCTAACCTAAATTTTTTATGACATCTTATTTAGCTAATCATTGTTTTTTTTAATTTTCATTCACATTTTCTATGTCGTACTAGAATTTTCGTTACTTAATGATCTGTTGAAAGTGCGAGTAATATAATACGATAAATCGTTTATAATAAAGTAAGTATGCAGAGCGATACGTTTAATACAAATCTTTATTAATTACACAGAACTATACAAAATTAGTACTTTGATGGAAAATTCGAACTAAATTTTCTTCATGAATCACCTCAAGCCACGCGGTATCTAGCATTGTAGTGATAAACATTACTTCAAAAATAGGTCAAATACCACAAAGATGTCATTTTACTGTATTAATTATATACTTGCCAGAATTTGTGCTTTGACTGGTCTCTATATAGTACTAGAAATTAACCCCGGCTCTGCTCGCGTAACTTACAAATAAGTAATTTTCTTATAAACTTCTAACCCCTTTTGTACTTTTAGAGGTTGAATTTCTAAAAATTCTTAGCTACTGCCTATGACAAATCTACCTGCCTAATAGTTTGTAGTATTTATATGATTAGAGATATCGAAATTAATTAGTGATTGGTATTTCGCAGTTATAACTTATTATCTACGAGTACTTATTAAACTACTAAAGGTGATTCTAACTTTACTCGTATATGGGGAAGTTTGAATATTAGGTAGATATATACCTACTTGTCGACGGCAAAGATTACAGAAAAAGACAAACATCTTACAACTTTTTAATTTCATTTCTATCGCATCCCAATCCTATCCTAAATATGGAGGAAACACATGTTTTTTAAGTTTTACGCACAATTTGACCTCGTTCGTCGTTACAACTGTACGTATCAATGAGTGAATGAAATGAATGTTACGTATACGTATAGTGATGAAATAATATTGGCAAATTGATAAAAGTATGGAACAAGTAGATTCTAATATTAATTATCATGTTTAAAAGTATATTAAAGCGAAAATTATTAAAAATTTCCTTCAATTGGATTAACGCTTACGCTTACGGATTACGCTTTGAAGTAATTTAGAAAGTTTTAACTAAAGATATATAAATAGACTTAAAGCGCACACAACTATAATTGATTGATAACCACGTGCCATTATAATAATAATGATAATATTTTAATTACTGTCCATCCGTAACTTTAAGTAATCTTTGTATATGTGGGTTCAAAAGTCAGTGGTATATTTCGTATTTTATCTGCTTTTACAAGTTTATGAATTAAATCATCTGTACTTATTTTATTAAAAACAGTGAACAAGTCGAGAAAAATACTGATATCTGTTTGTTGAGGACACTCTCTTATATGTTCTTAGTAGGTATTTGACTTAGCAACAAAATGTCACGCGACTAAAAGTTGTAGCGGGTGTGTGACCTTACTTTAACTATTACTTTAGACAAACTTTTATAAATATTTTTCTAATACGTTAATTATTTATTTACATAATATATCTTTCGAAAGTCCTTCAATTGGAAACTTATTATTTATACTTTAATCTTATTATCGTTTCATTCACAAACTGACTTGTAAATTACTCAAAAATGTGGTTTTTCATCATGAGTTTCACATGAGTATTTTTTTGTTTTAGTTTTTAGTATACTCAGTTGGTTTTTTATTAAATATTATTATTATAGGAACGTATAAATACGAAGAAATCTCGGCTAACTATTTTTTCTTTTTAATTTGTCATAAGCTATTACCGTTAAAAATTAACTCATTAAGTGGAAAATGTGGGCTTTTTAAGCGCTTTTTAAATCATTTCTCTATAATAGCGGAAATAAGCACGAACTCTGCATATATTCGTTATTACGTATTATCAAGAAAACTAATGAAAAAAGTTTGAAAAGGAGGTTTCTAGGAACGCGTCATGGTTATGACGTCACCGTGACTTGTGGAACACTTGAAATACAATGTGGACTGTTAGCTGGCGCCTTGTGGTGTAATTGATAAATTTTTTGAAGAAAACATAAATTATAATGCTCTTTGGACCTAGTGGTAGGATGATTGCTTCGCAAAATGTGGTAGCATGGTTCAATTCTCGAATCATTCTACACATATAAACCTTCGCATTTCTAGTAGTCCTCTGATAACGTAAAATCAAATAATCTATTACAAGAAAAATGTTATTATTTTATCATTCAGTGGAATATGTATCGGCACTATCTAGATTTTTTGAATATAACCGTAACAGTTTTATTAAATATAAATAAATTAATAAATATGTTGGCTATTAACACACAGCACCATCTAGTTCCATGGTAAGCTACGAAGCCTGTGTTATGGATACTAGATAGTTGATACACTATAAATATATAACTTTAAATACATACATATTATAAATGTAAACACCCATGACTGGAGTAAAAACATTCGTGCTTATCACACAAAGGAATGCTCTCAGCGGGACTCAAACCCGCGACCGCTGGCACAGCAAGTAGGGTCACTACAAACTGAGTCAAACGTGTCGTCAATTATAGTTAACTTTTGACAGATACCGCTGTAGCGAGTATAACTACTATTTATTCAAGACATTCAATGTATAGAACATTATTTTGAATAAATTTTCCAGGAAACTTAAGAATAATTCTAATTCTGCGAAATACCAGATGTTAGTTTATTTGAAAATGTAGGGAGTACTGCATAAATTTCATACATTTATTACGAATTGTAAAATGTTATCATATTCCAACGTGAATCACATGAAAGTTTAAACTACCTACTTCAAAAATAAATAATGCTTACAATAAATAATAAAATATATAAATATTTCGTCTGTAAAAAACAAAAATAAAGTAGAATATGATAAATGCAAATATATATAATAATATTCCCAAGGAGGGTTGACATCAGGCAGGCGGCCGGTCGTAAAACTTTTGCCAAATCCTTTCAGCAGTACAGAAGATGTACTGCGCCGACATTCAATTCGATTGTTTCATGAATGATGCATTTTTTTTAAAGAGAAGAACATGATTCGTGTTCAAAAATGAAACCTTTGCTCGATTACAGCGTATTTGAGTACAAACATGCAAACATAAAAAACTTTCGTATCGGTTGGGTATGTTTGGAGCTAGCCTGCAAAAATTGTAGTAAAATACATACGTATATTTTTTATGTTCATATAATTTAAGTACCTACTTGTACAGATAGTCGGTTAAGTAACCCGAGAGACTCGATCACCTGCTTGCGCTTCACGCAGCAACCACAATGCAAGTCTACGTGTTACATTTCAGAAGCTTAATATACTAATAAGTATTGAATGGCTATACGACCATTAACCACACATTTGTTCTTATTGATGTTACAAAATAGAATACTTCTATATACGGATATAATACTCGTAACATTGTAACGAGGTCAAAGTTGTACGTTTTTATTTATATTAAATGTGAAAGATGTGTGTTTGTCTTTCGTATAAGAATAAAGGTACATCGATTTAAACCACTGCAACATTTATTCATTTTTATTCAATAGTATTTAGAGGCTAACATTTTTTTAATTATCTTTCTATCAGCTATCTTTAATTCGATTCAAAATTATCACCATCTAGTTCAATGGTAAGCTGCAAGCGAGGCTTGTGTTATGGGTACCAGATAGTTGATACACTACACATATATAACTTTAAATACATACATATTATAAATATAAATACCCACGACTGGAGTACAAACATTCGTGCTCATCACACAAATGAATGCCCCCAGCGAGACTCGAACCCGCGACTGCTGGCGCAGCAAGTAGGGTCACTGTGAGGTCACGTGTCGTCGAAAATAAATCCTACCATATTTGGGCATTAACAGGAGTTTTCTGATCGTTTCATTATTACTATGTTTATTGGCGTCACACGAGCATGACGTAGCGACGTGGAGGCAAACGCCATCACTGCCGTCACTGTGCTCGTGCGAATGTAATC